TTCAGTCTAGAACTACTTAAGATCTGATTTTCTGAGTTTTAAGTCTGTACTCTCAGTGCATACTTGTATCATGAATCTTGGAAACTTTGGGGGAAAAGAAAGAAGCATAGGCATTGAATTTAGCAGGAAATCTTATCCTAAGGCTGTCCTATTACACCTCCATAGGCCAAATGGAGATTGTTCAGCAAGTGAGAATGGTGAGGAAGTCATGGAATGCCAGCCCATGTTTATTTCCTCAGTGTAAATACCACGTGTTTTCAATCTTTGCCGTTGCTTAATATCGATTATCTGTCCGGGAATACGGAAGTTAAAAAGTCAGACGTGTGAAACGTTTGCTTATTTTCCCAGGAATATGGAAAGCTGGCTCTAGGTGCGTGCCTGCCCTTCCTGCCAGACTCCTCCATCGATGGGCTTTGAACTCATCCCTGTTTTGAGCCTGTAAATGCTCTCCCTCAGCGCTGTCCTTGGCTCCTACAGCCACACACTGTGTGTGCTCCCACTGCCTCGCTCCACGCCCTCGAACAATTAGAGCCCAACAGCAAGTGCAGTGGAGAGGGGAAATATTTGAGATTTATTGTGGAGTCTGAGTTTCTGTTTTCCCAAAACAGGAGCTTTCTTCTAGTGGTATTCAGCAAGTGGCCTTTCTCACAGGAACTGTGCCAGAAGATGGCATTGCTGTACGCAGAGCACTCATCTCCATTGCAACAAGTCATTAGGAGGAGTGGAAAAACTGCAGCCTCCTAGTCCATTAGACTGAGTCAGGCTGTCAGGAAAAGAGTTTTTCATGTTGCACGTCAAGGACAGTTCCATTAAAATATATTGTGTGCTAAGGTTGTTTTTATTTTTAATTGTTGCTGTGTAACAAGAAGGCTTTGTTTAAAAGTCCGGATTCATCTGTAGGCCTAGGGGGTGTATCTCAATACCCAGAACTCTCTTTATTTTCAAGTGGAAAAAGGAGACACTATTAAAAATCCTCTGTGTTCGCACTGTCTCCTGCCAGCATCTTACTCTTTGACTTCAGGCTCTGCTCATTTTCCTCCAAACACTGTTTCCCAGCCATCCTTCAGGTGCAGTGGGAAAAGTATTTTCAATAAATTTGGTTTGAGAATGGCCTATGTGCAAGAGTAAGCAGCTCTTGGCACACTCCAAAGGCTTCTGCCATGAGTTTAATCCCAGAAGATAGTAAGCATCCCTTGGGGGTAGGTGAAAGCCTGAGGAAAAGTTGTAGTCAATTAGCAAAAATGTGATTTTTCCAAGTTTGTGCTTTATAGCAAGTTTTGTTATCTCGGCGAGTGAACGCTGTAGCTCTGATTTCCACAGGCTGTAGGATGAATTGATGTGATAAGACTACAGTTTCTCTTAGGGGAAAAATTGGAATCTAAGTTTTGCTGGATACTGTAGAGTAGATCCACTCTGTGGTTCTGTCCTTGTGTAAAGATTACAGTGTGGTCATGTCTGGGAATGCTGACAGAAGCTGCCTGTTGTGGTTTCAGCTCCCCAGGGAATTGTCAGGTTGGTTGGAAAGCTGCTTGTTCCTGTCGTGAGCTTTGGGAAAAAGCCTTAGGTTGGCTCAGGCTGGTGGCTGAACTGCAGGAGACACCTCCCTCACCAGTGGCCCTAACACTGAACAGAGATGCGCAGAAATTTAATTAGGAAGACGTAATGCTGGAAATGAACAAATACCAGGGAGCTTCCTTTTGCCTACTCTGCAAATGAAGTTAGATGCCCTTGCCAGTAAGGCTTTGAGGGGAAGGAAAAGGAAAGCAAACAACAGTAAAGAAAAATGGAAGGAGTGTAAAGCAATTGTTTACGTCACCCTTTGAAGTAAAAAGTGACTCCCCAGCATCATTCACTTGCTAGTTTGGCCACATGAGGTTTCCTGATGGGTTTCCATTCAAAACTCCTAGGTTTTGGAAGCAGAAGTCAAGGACATAAGTGCTCTCCTTTTTCTTTGCTTTTCCCATTCCTCGGTCAAAGTGATTCTGTGGAATTTGGTTTGGGGTTAGTGGTGGATATCCAAGGTGAGACCCAAGTCCATGGGTAGATGTTGTCTTGCCCTCCCTGCAGGTGGAGCCTCCCTTGGGAGGAATATGATCTGCTTCTGTAACATTTCTAGTCCATCCTTTCAGGAGCAGTTCCTTTTGAGAGGGATCTCCAAGCTCCCTGTTGCTGTTACCCTCATGAAGTAACTGCCATGGAGAATACAACTTAAAAACCCCCAATTAACCATGCTGCCTTTGACACAGACAAGGCTCTGGTGTCCACTAGTCCAAAGCTGTTGTGTAGCCTTGGGCTAATTGCATTTGGCAGCTGCTGCTCTGTGTCTTGCTCTGCCTGGGAGGACATCCTTTAGGTCTTTGCTTTTGTGGTTCAGGAGACAGCCTGTGAAGGGCTTTTCTCACAGCTGGCCTTTGTGAACTTAGTTCTGAAGGGATTGATGCTGGAGAGAATGATTTTCTTCATAGCCTGTTGCTGTGCAGAGAACTTATTTAATGGTGAAACCCTTGAAACATTCCTAGCAGGAGAGAACTCCTTGTTCTGCTGGTTGATGACAGGTTGTTTTGGCCACTCCCTCTTGTTAGTTGAGTTGTGCTGTAAGAAAGATAGATTTAATTCCATGTTGGACCAAACATTCTGAAGCTCAGTGGATATGGATGCATCTTTGGGTAGTAACCTGTCGGTTGAGCTTTTTATTTGTGTGTTTTTAATTTGAGCTGAGTCACAAGTGACCAGCCTCTGGCTTGAGCTCAGTGGCATGTTCCATTCTGCCTGTGGCAAGGCAACCGGACTGTTCAGATGTCAGAAAATGAAACACGGAAGAACAGCTTTAATTAGCGAAATGACCCACTCCCCCTAAGAGCTGCTTTGACACCCAGTTCATTGAAATGTTGCTGCTTTCACCATCCAAAGCTCCAATGCCTGTGTATGTATGTGTATTTAATTAATAACCAACCATCCTTTATGGCTGTGCTGGGCCTGCTCCAGAGTTTCTTTTACACTTGGGATTTGCTCCTGTGTAATTCCAGAAGGGGTTAGATTTGAAGTGGGTGCAGTATTATGCCGAGCTCTTTACACAGAGCTAAAAGCATTATCGATTGCATTCTCTATGAATGAAAGAACTTAGATCTATCTGGAAAATGAGAAGAAGAAATGGGGAAAAACAAATGAATGTTTTATGTCACATATTTCAATGCAGCAATTTCCTAGCTTGCTTTATTCCCGACTTCCTTCGTGTTGCTCTTGGCGTGTGTTTTGTGCTGCAGGATTCAGAGTGCCACTGCTTGCTTTGGTCTCAGAGTGGTGTTGGAGGTCACATCAGTCATTTTATATCAGTGATGTGGAAGCGTAACAAAATTAATTTGAAGGGGGGAGGGAATGCACAGAAAGAGATCTGGTAAGATTGTTATGCTGGATTTTATTTTTTTAAACTTCATTTACAGTGTTAATGGGAGTATTGAGAGCTGTTAAATCTCTCTCAGTATTGGTTTCAGACAGCACTGAGAAGAGCTAATGTGTACAGCTTCACAGAGTAGCTTTTTTCTATTTTTGCATTTCTTCATATTTCTTGTTCTCTTTAACCCAAATCTCCTGATTTTTGCAGCACATCAAAGATTGTCTTGTGTTTCTTGATGTGTGGGTTAATATTTTCTTACTAAGATTACCAAACCTTATGTGGCTGAAACAATTGAGGCTTCAATATCCATGAGTTTATACTACAAGATTTTGTATGCTTAATTGTTTTTTTGGCAAAGTGCACAGCTACGGAAAATACCTGGCAACAATAAGTTCCCCTTATTGCACCGAGGAAGCCCTAATATTGTAAAAGCACCAAACTTTGTCCATTCTATGCCCAAGTGATGATAGACTAGAAGGAGAATGGGATGTCAGCTGTCATTTTTGAACCACTGGTAATTTCTGAGTGCTGCTGCGTGCTGGGCTTTGCACGGCCCATGCGGCTGAAGGTGTCAGACCACATGAGTCAGCATGTGGAGCGAAGCCACGTGGAGCTGTTGAAGCAGGGGCCTGTCTTGTGCTGCATTTCACGGGAGGTGCTGACATGCTGTCTGCTCTCTGCCATGACATGCCTTTCCTTCTGTCCCTAGTTCTCTCAGCTGCTCCTTTCCCAGGGTTTTGCCTTTGGATGTTCCCTGGACTACTGGTTTATGCTTAATTTCGTACTCCAGCTATGCACAACCTCAAGCAGGTTGTTCAGCCTGGAGTAGAGAATGCTCTGGGGAGACCTTCCACTACCTCAAGGAGCTCCAAGAGAGCTGGAGAGAGACTTGTCACAAGGGCATGGAGTGACCAGACAGAGGGCAGAGTTATATTGGATATTAGGAAGAACTTCTTGCTTGTGAGGGTGCTGAGGCCCTGGTTGGGGCCAGAGCGAGGACCAGGTTGCCTGGGGAAGCTATGGCTGCCCCATCTCTAGAAGTGTCCAAGGCCGGGTTGGTCAGGGCTCAGAGAAGCCTGGTCCGGTGGCAAATGTCCTTGCTCATGGCAGGGGTGTTGGAAGGAGATACCTTTAAGATCCCTTCCAACCCAATCCATTCAGCGATTCCATGATTATTTTAGCCTGGCTGTAATCTCAGAAGTACATCATAATGCGGCAGTAAAGCAAAATTAGATGTCTTTAGACCAAACCAGCCCTGTTTGCTGGCCTCGTCGTGGCTCAGCAAAGCTGTTTGAAAGCAGCTGCTTTGCTCAGTTTCCCCTTGTCCCTGCTCCCGGCACGGCTCCTGTGCTTGCCTTACCCATCACTCGCCAGCCCCGGCCCCAGGTGTACCCTCTGCGCATTGCCGGGGGAAGAGGGGGCGTGGGGGAACCAAACAGAGCGGTGTGTGCGCGTAGTCTGTCAGGGGCTGTGGCTCCCCTGTCCCGCCCCCCGTGGGAGCCGAGCCGGAGGCTGCCCACGCAGGTTCCTCCGCCGCT